TGAATCACTTGAAAAAAACACGGGGGTGCTTAACTTTTTTCCAGGTGTATATATTGATCAAAAGTTTATTTTATATGGTCCCCAGTTCCTGTTTTAGTTTTGGTTTCGAGTTTTTATATATATCATAAGGGAGATAATAAGTTGTTACTTGAGTGATTATGAGTAGTATGGTATTGTGAAATAGAATAACAATTTACAAAGCTCGTGAAAGATTATAATTCATAGGGGAAAATGATTTCATTTGAAACCATGTGATTAAACTTGTACAGCTGCATAAAACTGAAAAACCAGGAGCTTTCTTCGCAACCTAGGTGCAAGTAAACTGAAATTAACATAATCACATCAGGTAACAGGTAAGTTTATAATTATAAGTTAAGCCTTAAGGTAGTTGTACAATTTGTGGTAAAATCATGTAAAGTTAAATGTAGTACTTTATCCTTATCTTTAAAATTTAATGACCTGATTCTACAATATTTCTCAATTTATTGAGGATAATAACTAACTAAGTGATGATTTTTATAATTTGCTGTTGTTATAAATTAAGTTGTTATTTTTTAATTAGACAGCCTGTGTTATTATAATATGAAGTAATAAAGCGCAAATCTGCACATCGAACTATGCGTACTTCAGAGATCGTACCACAGTTTAGTTGTATAACACTATAAGCGAGAGGGGGGGGGGGAGCAATAGGTAAAATGTAGAAACTTCGTTTCGCTCATTGGTGGAATGGCGTTCATAAAGAGACCAAACGTTCCGTAAAATAAGTAAAAAACGGAATAATTTCACTCTTAAAAAATAGCAATTAGAATGAACCTAAAAATAGCATATAATACTTTTCAAGACTGGGCTAGGTAAAAATGCATAACCATTAGATCTCAAAAAGAATAACATCCAAATTAAAAAAAAAATTAAAAGTGATCCTTAGAAAATTAACAATACTAGAATCAAGAAATTTCCGAATTCTAACTTTTGAGGGTTACAGTTTCTTTTATTACATCAAAAGATGAAACCCTTCCATAATCTATATATAAGTACAATTGAATGTACTGCTAGCATTACTACTACTCCCTAAGGACAATTATCATAAAATGAAACCTGGTGTACAAAACAGAAAGTAAATAACATATAAAACACCAATGAAACAATAAAGATTCACACAACCATTATAGAAATTGGATTGTCATATGCTTTTTAAAGCACTACACTATGGAATCCCAAATAATATTGAGAATTTAAAGTGTTAGTAACAAAATTCAGATTGCACATAGGCAGTCATGTTGAAATTAAACTTTGAATACTGTTACATCTCTGTGTTGATTTGTTAATTTTGTTAATAATCCTGAAAAAGAGGAGGTGGAGAAGAATTTAAACACCAACAAATGAAGAAAGGACAGTCTACTCATTCACAATGAATACACACACTGCTTTTCTTTTTATTGTCTGAATAAAGTTTTATTTTTTATTGTTCAAAGTGTGTTCAGCTTAGTTATTTGCACTGTTACGTCTCTGCTCGTTAGTTAATTTTCCGTAAAAATTCTTTCCAAAGAAACTTCAGCAATACAAGTCCTTCCTTAAAGAAAACTAGTTTATTCTTTCTCAATACAACTTTTCAATACACTTAATTTCCACAGTCGCGCTATAACTTAAACAAACGCTGTAATTCACAACGAACGATTCACGTGCTTGACTCAATTGTCCATCTCTATCTCTGTCTGCAATTCAATTCCATTGTTGCCGTCACTTCTTGGTGGTCTTATATACAAGAATACTGCACATCTAGTAAACACTCGAGCATTCACGAACCTTCGAGAATATCATGACATGTTACTAGTGTCACGTGACTTCCGCTGTCGTAACACTGCCCCTTCCTTAGTATTGTTCATCCCGAAAACAATAGCCACTTACATTAAACTAGTAGATAATTAATAATAACTTAATTAAATGTACAGAATTTACAAACACTACAAACAAAAAATTAGAATTCAACAAAGTCTCTTAATTTTACGGGACGTATCTTCTTCCGTACTGGCTTCTGTTTCATGTGAGGTTCATCTGATCCATCAGGAATTGTCCTATCATCAGTAATGGTCACCTCAGTGGTAGTAACTTTATGAAAGGCTTCACTGTTTCCCTTCTCAAAACTGAGTAGAGTTTCTTCTTCGACAGTGGCCTTTCCAGGTGACACGTATTCAGTGGCATCTTTTGTTCCATTGTTCACTTCATTCCAACTGAAATGTCCTTGACCATGATAACGCCAAAGCCTG